CTTGTATATATATATATATATATATAATATAATATATATACATATATATATATATAGAATTACCTCGAAGGAGCTCTCGTGTTTGAGCAAACTTGCACGGCAGCGCTACGGCCAACGCATCGGGCTTGAAATGACATTGACGATACACTTCCACGATATCGTGAAACTCCAAACACCGCTGGACATCGCTCGACACTCGAAAAGAAGGCGGCTTCTTGGCACTTGGTACGGCGGACGTCGATGATAATGCTGATGTGTGTTGATGATCTTCGAGACCGACGGCAGAAGCAGCACGTTCGTGCCACTGGAGTCGTACCCGCTTACGGCCAGGTCCTTCCGCCGCGTCCAACGCTGTCGATGGCCACGAGAGCTGGTACACAGACTGCCCTGTGTTGATTTGCATATCCTCTGGTTGTGGCCACAACGACCGCGCGTACCTACATACATACATGCAACATTTGTATGTATCTCGTCTCTATAATTATACAAGTAGATGTTTTCATTGGGTTTTTTTCGTACTTTGTGGCGACCTGGTCTCGATCCCATATCGCGTTGGCCTCCTTCATATCATCCCGTTGACTTGAAACGTACTGCGCTAGGCGGAGCCCCGCCTTGTCGGCCGCGACCGTCACCGTCACTTCTTCTTTACACTCGTCGTGGTTTGGATGTGCACACGATGGCGGCACGTCGGCGGTCGGCGCCACACGGACACACCAGTCGCTGTGCTTGGGGTGCCGCAGCGCCACGGTGCCCTCCAACGTGTCCACCAGGTGGGCGTACATGGCGTCCGTCCGGCTCGCAAACAGGTCCTCCAACACCTCTGCTTGAGCTTGGATCCACGCGTAGAAGACAGGGTACTGCGCATGCTGGACCGAATCTATCCCGAGCACTTGGTCAAATCCACGGTGAAACACATCCAGGCGCGCCGCCGCCGACTCCTTCTTGGCACTCGACGACATGCGCAGCGACGACGGCGGCGGCGGCGGCTGCTTGATGTCCACAATCAGCAAGTCCTTGACCAAACCAACACGTTGCTGTAACAAGTATTGCCACAACAGTGTCACTTCAAAGCAGCCCGGGTCCACCACCAAGATTCTAGCCAGTTTGTCGTTAGAACTGCTACTAGTACTAGTACTACTACATGTACCCAGGATGGTGATGATATTTTTAGATTTTTTATACATGAACGAGATATCAAAGAAAATATATACCGAAATAAGGCCGTGGCCAAACACTGGACAAACAACTTGTCCGATTCGTGGCCAAGTTCAAACTCCTTGAGGGGGGCGGCGGTGCCGTGCAAACTGAGCTGGCGCATGTGCACGCGAAACGGCGTGTCGGCAGCGGACGACGACGACGACGAGGACGATGTGACGGTCGGGCTATGATATAACATCACATTCGACACGTTTGTTTGCTGTAAAAACAAGTGCTTCGACGGCACGACCACGCGCAGCACATCCAAATGCCACGACGACAAGTGCTGTATGGGATACAAGGCGAGCAAAGCCAACGATTGGCCGCAAAACACGAGCACGTTGTAGAAGTGCTGTGTTGGTTCATCCCCCAGGACGCTACCACCACCAGTACATTCCAGTTAGCCACAAAAAAACAGATATTCAGTCCTGACATCATATATACATATGTATGCATCGTTAAATCAACCACTATGACAGGTATATAGTCCCCACACGATATATATATATATATATATATATATATATATATCGGGTACTAGTGCGTTTGTAAGGTTGAATCTTGATCATTTATGTTGGACCCACTTGTCGAATTGGTTGTAACGTTACCTCCACCGAAATAATTATATATATATAATAAAGAAATATGTTGGTACATTCCAGTCAACCACAAAGTTACATATTCCGTCCACACCACATATATATATATATCGTGTACTAGTATGTTTTACGGATGTAACGGTGAATCTAGCTCATCTATGTTGGACCCACTTGTCGAGTTGGTTGTACTTTCACCAAAATAGAAAAATATAAATATATATTGTGAATTCACTATAAACTTGCAAAATTCGCGTGGTGGTTTATCTAATCAATATTGAATCACGATGGAGTTCGGATTGGCTGAATATACTAAGTCCATTCTGTAAGATCCAATCAAATCTACGCCAAATTGGATTAGCCAATAGCGTCGATTCGATGGTGTGATGCGATTCGACGAGGTCTGGAAATTCGAATCCACAATAATATAGAAATATATTTTATACTGTGAATGGACAAGAAATTGAATATCGATACAGTATGGCAACCGCACACATGCTGGATATAGATCGATACTACAGTAGATGAGTATTCATGACTGTACCTCGACATGGCCTTGTCCCCACACCCTTCGAGCACACGGCACACGAACGCGACGAGGGTTGGTGTGAGCTCAACGTGCCACGTCATAGTCTTGACATGTTTATCCACGCGTTTGACATGCTTAGTCTGTCGACGACATACGAGTCGCCTCAAAAGCCCAAGCAGCAAACTGCACACGTTCTTCATAGCCACGACCGTGGCATTGCCAGTTAGGATCTTGGCGTCGGTGATTACAATCGTCTGGACGAGTATGAGCCATTCGAGGGCGGGGGCGTGGGGGGGCCACGTATGTAGACAGAAGAGGGCGTTGTCAGCCCAGTCATCGCGCTCCAGAAGCGATCGGAGCAGAAACGTCCGCAGACAAGATGACACGTCTACACTTGGTGCGTCGGGGGGTTGGACTTGACACGAATCGTGGGCTGGATAAAGGATTTGGCCACATCGAAGGACTACAGACAAGAACGCACAGCTGGATCGGCACACAGCTTGGAAGAACAACGTGTCGGTTTGAAGGCGATGGTTGAGCCAAGCGAAGACTTGGATGGTAGCAGCAGTATCGGACGGATGGTGGTTACGCGTCCACAAGTGCCCTAGGATGTCCCACACTGCATCGATGCAGTCCCTGTCCATGGCTGTGGGTGTGTACTTGTCTGGGAAGTATCGGTTCAGAGCACCTTCTTCGTCCTCCGTCTCATTCTCGTCATGATGGGGGCTGTCATGGACATTGGACAGCGGGATCAGCCCGACAAACGCCAACAAAGGGATATACGTAGTGACATGCCCAGAGTGCAACGACAGCACTTGTTTGAGTCGAATGTGCAGCTGCGAATTCACTAGCACATGCATGGCGAACGCTGGTTGGAGCTGGGCCAGCGAAAACAGCAGGCGACTGGCTAGCTCGGCGTCCGACGATAGGGGGCTCGTGTTGGATTCGACGTTGGAGCGGCAGATGATTTCTAACAACACATGCTCCAACCCGTCGACTGAAAACGTCGACGGCGTACACCACTGCGGACTTGTCAAACTAGTAGTACTAGTAGTACTAGTACCCATCGACCCCGTGTGCGTCGGGGACACCACCGTTTTGGTCTTGTCTTGCTGCAGTCGATAAAACACTGAATCCACCAACGTTCGGGCAATCACGGGGGACATTTGAACATGGTGCAATAAAAATCTCAGCAGCGTTCGGCGCAACAGCCGCCCGTGGTGGGATGTGTCCATGTGACTTAGCGAACTCAGGAGCACGTCGACGCACTCAAGCATGTCGTCTACATGCACTTCGACTTGCAAATACATGGCCAAGAGGTGGACGACCTCGTCTACGAGACTCGCATCTGTCGGTGATAACGTCATCGTTGTTGTCGTTTGTACGACCCCTCGACACAAGTGGCCAATAAAGTGCAGGCTCCACTGGACAAACTGACACTGTCGCAGCTGGCGGGCGTTGAACACTGCGTTTGGGTTCGAGGGGTGGACGATCATTGCGACAAAGGTCACAAGATGGTGCTGCAATGGGCTAGACAAGCCATTTCGAAACGCCACGTTCAACAGCACATCTGCGACAGCGTGCGTGTCGACGATCACCGGAAAAATCATCGCTCCTGTATCACGAGTAAAAACGTGCTTGTCGGTGCTTAGCGTGCCCGCGATCGCAAGCTTCGCGACAGCGGTCAGAGTCGGCAAATCCATCGCCACCATGTGCTCGACAAGGAACGCCGTGAGCCACGAGTAGCCTTTAGCTTGGAGGAACAACGCTAGCGTTGCGGCGTTGGTTTGTAAGCAGCTTGTCAAGACGCTTAGAAACCGAGGCAGATCGGTCGTCGATGGGTCCAACAGTGGAAGGAGCAGCGAGCGCAATCCGCCTAAACTAGGCACCAGTTTGGCCAAATGGAGCGGCACAATCGGCTCCGTGTCCACATATTGCACGTGCGTTAACGAGTTTGGGACGTCCGTGTGCAGACTCCACATGACGGCCGTGTCGGCCCACTTGAAACTCGCGACCAGCGCCAGCCACTCGACGCCCAACGCCTCACAAGAGCAGTGCCGGTCGAGAAAGTGCCGAAACCGCCGTATCGCAGACATGTCGCCGTCGTTCCAGGACGCAAGCATGTCGCAGTCGTTCCTTTGCGTCGCCATCCCAAGGCTCGCCAGGTTTAGCCGGTTGGCAGCTCGGCCCAATTCTACCTTGCGATATGTGATCCAGTGCAGAAATACCGTAAGGGCACTCTCTGTCCACTCGTATATAGCGCCAAGGCTCGTCGTGTTCCCTGGAAACGACTGCTTATAGTTGGGACCCAACGTGAACATGCACGTAGCCGCCAGTGGAGGCAGCACGTCCGACATGAGCCACGTCGGCCCCAGACAAATCGGCCGGATGCTCGTGGACGCAAACAGGTGCGGATCGCTGCCGAGATAACATCGCAGGGGGGTGCCTATGGGGGGCGATGCCGGGTACGACAGCTTCTTGGCGCCGGCCTCTGCGCCGTCAATGTAAAGCGTGACCACGGAGCTGCCCATCACTGCGCGTTTGTGTGTCAACACTAGATGGTGCCAGCTAGCATCTTGGGCAAACAATCCGACGTCAACGTTCTTGAATAGAATGTGTTTATGCGCAGTTTCCACCCGCAAACAGGTCGTGGCTGGTTCAAAGTATATGCGAGTAAAGCACTGCTGGGACTGCTGCTGCTGCTGGTCGAGCCCAAAGTACATCGACACGAGCATCACGTATGGCTTGGCATATACTTGCAGCGCGTTCTTCCACATCACAGCCTCGTCGTCTACCTCCACTTTGAACCAGTCGTCGTTGCTACAGATGCGAAAGCTGCCATGCCCTTCTTCACCTTCTTCTTCGTTGGCAATGTCGGCGGCGTACTCGCTGACTTCGAGCACGGCTACTTCCGTGGCGCCACTCACAGCGTCTGCTTTTGACTTGTATAAACTCAATGTAGACCCCACGAGTACCCCATACGTAGCGCCGAGCCCGTGATCGAATGTCACTGGCCCTTCACACATGGGCACGGTCACGGTATGCCTGGTGATTCTGCCTTTGACGTTATCTGGAAACTGAAACCAGCACGCAAACGAGTAGCCAGATGTGGGCGGCCACACCTTGTCGCAGCTCGTGACGTGGATGTACGAGTGATTGGTCAGGTGGGTATGCGACACTGCGTTGGCGTTGCACAGCGCGTCTAGAATCGGGAGGCCCCGCCCGGGGGTGGCATGCAGCACATGGAGGTACTCGCGCAGGTGGGGCATGGGAATGTCGGTCGTGGCGAGCATCGCAAGCAGCGGTAAAAACGGCTCGGACGCTGTCACAACCAACGGCAGCAGCCACGTAAACACCCCCGCGGCTACCAATTTGGCAGTGTCGCCGTGGGGTTTGCTCAACTTTGTCAAGTTGCTCATCCATCGAGCCAGCAAGTCCATTTGCTGAGCTTGATCTAGGTGTGGGTACAAGAGAAAGCTCACGACGCCCGCATCTGCATTGTGCAACACGACATCATTCGACGGATCTACGCCTTGAACAGGCCGAAACACCAACTCCATCAAACACGCCAGCACTTGGGCCGCATGCGACGACGTGAGCCAGCCCGCCATAACGACAGTGTCGGCAATCCTATGGTACATGCGATGATGTACCGCATACTGTCGCGTGTCGGGGGCGTCGTCCAACAGCAGCGACACGATTGCAAACCACGACTTTAACAGACTGATATCACTCGCGTGCAACGCCGACAACGTCGACAGCAACCCTTCCATGCCGCTCGTGGTATCCCGCCATAGACGCTGCACGGTGACGTTGTTGCGGAGGTAGTGGCTAAGCAACGATAAGAGCGTGCCAAGGGCTTGTAGGTCGCCTTGGGCGGCACCGCAGCGCTCCATGAGCTCGAGTATCATGCGTACGTCATCTTCAATGCATTGCACCAGCAACGGGGATTTTGTGACCCCCGCTAGCTCGACCAAGATCTTGAATAAGCTGTGGAATGTGGCCGTGTCCCCCACCCAGGCACTGATCACGCCATACAGTGCCACGTGGATGTGACACTGGCGGAACTGCGTACATGCTGCGACGTGGTTGTGCAACACCACGCACGTCAGCGCACTCAACGCTTGCACGTATCGGCACTGTTGCTGCATGTCGTCGCCTACTCTGATTGTATGTTCGGGGTTGTTTTCGGCAGCTTTTGCAGCCAAAACATGTTGGAAGGCCACGTACACCCCTCGATCCAACAGTCCCAGGTCCAGCAACGTGTCGCGCAACGGATGGTCCGACGAAGGAACTTGATGTAGCATGCTCGTAAACGATCTACACACTTTTGTGGCCATCGCCACGTCATCCCCCCCCTACGCTCCACAAGATCAAAATATCAAATTCTATTCCAACGATATAGTCCTATGGATTACGCTATTCGAAACACGAAAAAACATATTATTTACATCCACGGGGATACCTCCTATTTTATCTCTGATATGGGCCACCATGCAAAAATTATATCGATGTGGATCCTATTAGTGTATCAACACACATAGTACCTGAGCGTCCACAAAGATACCACACAGCGAACTCAAGATGCCACGTGTCACTTCTAGTGTAGGGCCGTGCACAGCCATGTGCTGGACACAGGCAAGGACGAGATCTTGATGAGTTTGGCTCGCCAAGGCGGGGAATTTTGTCACGAGCGACGCCACCAATTGGGTAGCCGCTTCCACTCGGTGGATCTGATCGTCGCGAGAGCATATGATGTGCTCCACGAGCTTGAAACACGGCGTCAAGATGGACATCTTGGTCGGGTCTGTGGCATGCTCTGCGATAAAGTTTCTGAGGGAGATGACGGCGGCGTCGTTCCATGCCCCACATGCGTCGAACGTCCAGTCCATCGATAGCTGCGACGCCGGTTTGACGCCGCCTTCTCCGAGGGGCAACAGCGCCTTGAAAAAGTCCAGTTCAGTACAAAACCACGTTCTTTCTGGGCTGCTGCTGTCGTCTGTGACATCGTTGAATGACGAAACCCGACCAATGAGCGAGTCCCACACGACGTTATACCCCCCAGCAACGTCGAAATCCGACACCAACACAAACGAGTACCGGCAACTGGTCTGGAGCATCATGATGAGCCATTTGTGGCCCACCGATGGATCGTGGCTGAGCAACGAGTACGACAGAGAGGAGGGGGCGGTCGATGCGAGATCTGTCGCCGGGCGGACTTCGTTTGGGGATGGCCATGTCGTTTCGCCATCGGTTTCGCTGGCCGAGTGGTTGAATTTTTTCAGAGTCGCGGCTGCAGGTGGCGGTATGAACGTTGGTTTATGGAGACCCAGCGCTTTGCTCACAGCCAACTGTACGTCGTCTGCTGCATTCTTTCCCCCAGACGAAGGGGATGGCATGCATGTTAACGAGGACGATGCTTGAAGCGCCTGGAACCAACTCATGGCGGCCGCGGCGGTGGCGGGGGTCGCGGGAGTCGCGGTAACCAACTGCTGCATCGTCTGGACGACCACTGATATAGCTTGGACGTCGTGGAGGTACCACACTAGACCAGCGTTAAACGCAGGCGAAGCTGCGATGGCGTTGATGGCCGTGCCCACAACATCGCAGATGCACATTGTTCTCGGAGCGTACACTTCCACCGCGAGCCGCATGACGTTGGGGACTTCGCATCGATATCGATCCAAGATGGACTCGTTCGAGAGCATCCCCACGAGACACGTGCCTAGCGTTTCAACGGCATGAAGCAGCGCCATGTCGTCTGGCAGGTTGATAGAGGGCGAGGGCAGCATGGATTGAATGTGTGCGACAATGTACAGCAGCCGAATGCGATCGAGAGTTTCGACGACGAGTGCGGGCAGCGTAGATTGGTCGCTTAATGGCACGCCCAAGTCCCCTATGCAATATAGCTCCACCCATCGCGTCGACGCGTCGCCTACGAGTGCAAGAGGTGGTGGTGCCCCAGGGGTGCGACGAGGATGAGTGTGTACCCATGTTCGATTGTATCTTGGACGCCAATGCGTTGATGCTCGAGACCAACTTGGCGATGTCGTCGCTGCTGCTACTGCTACTACCGCTGCTGCTATCTTTCTTGATGGAAGACACACTGTGCAAGTGTGAATGCTGTGAATCATGGTGGACATGTTACGTACAAGAGTTTGCACGCAGCCGCAATGTCTTTCATCTGTACTGTCATGCGTGAATACCGAGCCTACGTGGAAGTCAGTGGTGCGTTTTGTGAGCATGGTGGTGGAAGGGTTGAGGTGCGTACGGCAGGAGGAGGTGGCGGAGGCGATACAGGCGTCGTTACGGTCGCAGTTGCTGTCGCGGGGGACTTGCTCGGTGGAGACGACGTCAAGGTCAAGTCATGTTCGTCACTGCCAGTTTTCTTGCGGCTAAAGAGTTTGGTCAGTTGCTTCTTCATTTCGTCTTGCGATGTCCTTCCTCACTCCTTGCGTGACGGTTACGTCATGAAGATACAAATCTTGATAACGTTACTGTATTACTTTAAAGTATATTATATTAATATTCTTGTTAAAATGCCATATTTTTAATATTCCTTTCAATAAGTATAAGTCTATAATGACGGACTTTATTTTATTGTTCGAAATGTTGGTATAATAATATTCTCCTTCCATGCGATTGGTCATTCGAATCATCATGTTGCCTTTTTCAGCAATTTGCCGGCTGACACCATGAAGCGCTCAGCATCGCCGCGGCGGTGGTCGTTGGACTCGCTCCAGCACTCGATCTTCCTCTTGAGGCGGCGTATTTCATGGCGAAAGGCATTTCAATCCCTTATTCTTGTGGGTCTGTCTCTGGCTTTCGTGTATTTCGCTGCCATGTACCTGTTCGCATCATCGTTCCGACACATCCATTACGGTGGCCTCGACTTGGACGTGGCTGCCAAGCCTCCGTTAGTAGCCAGGGTGGTCGACGAGCCAGCATCATCCAGCACCTCCCTCTCGTTCAAGATTCTGCAGATCCCAGACATGCATTACACGGGCAACCCCAACCATCCATGCCGAAACCCGCCGCCGTCGGTCCGACCCTTGGCACTCTGTCCGTCCATACGTATTGACATGCACATGTAGGCCTTCCCATGCACGGAATCTAACATGACCTCGTTCATTGCGGCCTTACTCGACCACACAAAGCCCGACTTTGTCGTGTTTACAGGCGACCAAGTCGAATCCGTCGAACTCCACCAGGTCTGCCAACATGCAAATGCATTCTACGTTCATCATCTATCTCTCGGTTAAACGAACCATGGCGAATTGGGAAATTTGAAGAAAATCGACAATATTGTGCTTTTGAGTGATATTTCATTGTGTTGTGGCGTGGTTTCTCGTTGGAATTTAAATCGGTTTGATTGGCTACCTCAGATGAGCTCAAAATTATTAGCCAATCAAAACCATCTCAATGAAATTCAACCAATCAGATCGATTGTGGATCGGTATGGTCGGCGCGATTCGATTGCACCCCCTCCCTCCCTAAATTTGTATCAAATCGACAATATATTTCTGCTTTATTTTCCATTATTGATGATTGTAGTAGTTTTTCTCCCCACGCTTAGTATTTTGCATGACTCTGTGAATCCCAACTTTGAGGTCACTTACAAACGTATGCCTTAGTCTGTGTATCAAGTAAACCGAGCGCTATACGCGTTCAGTACACAAGTGATCGAACGCAACATCCCGTGGGCCATGATCTTTGGCAACCACGACCAAGGGGTCAGTAGGAATCTCCTCCTTCTTGAACGACTTCACATCTAATTGCTCAGGATTCCATGTCCAAACGTGAAATGTTTCGGCGCATCAACGCTTTGCCCCTGTCGTACTCGGAGTACGGGTCTCCGAACCAGGTCAGCAGTAGAGTCGGCAACTACGTGCTTCAAATCGAAGCCCCCAACGCTGGACCGTGGGGGCCCGAGGGGAAAGCCCTGCTTCGACTGTACTTTCTAGACTCGGAAGATGGACAGTTCACAAATGAGCAGCAAACGTACGTCAAGGGCGTTGCCGCGCAACTAGCTCACCAACAAGTGCCTGCGCTCATGTTTATTCACAACCCGATCCCTGAATACGCCGAGTTTGACCAACAACTGAGTGCAAAGCAACAACTGAGACAGGGTCACCAAGGCGAACCAGTGTCGCATGCCCACACTAATAGCCACCTGTTCAATACCCTCTTGCAGAGTACGCCACTTGTGTGTTTTCTATGATAGTATGGAGATGTCGTATTCTAGAATATATATTTACCATATAGTACGAAGAATGGTTTACTCGATATATATATCTTTATTACGAATATTATATTTAAGAGAGTCACGCATGTTTTTTTTGGTTTGTAGTGGGCGATGTGAAAGCGACGTTTGCAGGCCACGACCACTTGAACGACTTTTGCTTTCCGAAACAAGGTTTGCATTTGTGTTATGGCGGTGGCGTCGGCTATGGTACGTTCCCGTTCGTGTTGTTTCATATTCATATTCGGTCGCCCAATATATATATATGTATAATATATATAAATATGTATAATATATATAAATATGTATAATATATATATATGTATAATATAATATATATATGTATAATATATAATATGTATATTGTATATATGTATAATATATAATGTATAATATATATATAATATATATGTATAATATATAATATATATATATGTATAAATTTACATGATTGGTTCAGCGATACCAATGAACACTCGACTGAATCCTGTAAATTTTCAAAAAATAAATGAATTTGATTTTCTATGAGGTATATATATATATTACATATACTATTACTACAGACATACCATTGAACAATATCAGGCAATGCCATGATGAATGCGACTGAATCCTACTTATATTATTTTTGCTCCAGAGAGCTACTATTGAACAATATCAGGCGAATGCGATAGAATCTTACGTTGGGTGTATTGTTGTTGTATGTAGGTGCTGCATATGGAAATGAAGCGATACCTCGACGAGCGCGAGTGATTGAATGGACCTTCTCCCGTCAAGCACAAGCGATTACGACGCACTTGGTGCATCGCAGCTCCACCACGGAGGACATGACCACGGGAGAACCGTATTTGATTTATAAAAAGACGATCGAGCGACCGTCTATCGGCAGCTTGCGCGGTGGCGGCGGCGCTTTCTAAGGCGGCGGCGTGGCCAGCGCGTCCACTTGCGCTTGAATCGCGTCCAGTTGAATGAAAAAGTCGTACAGTTCTGCATGATTCATGTCCATGTGAATGTCGGAGGAAGGAGATGGACTGTCTTTGGTCGTTTGGAGGTGAAACAGGGCATGGGGAACGGCATGTCCGGAGGAAGACGAATCGGCGATGGTTACATGCAGGCGCCAGTGCGACTCGGTCACGTTTGGCAAGTGACCGGGTGTCGTGGTGCTCGCACGTAGCAACGCCGCTCGGTAGGAAGATCGTTCTTGGGACCACGCCAGCGTCAGAGAAGATGCAGCGGTCTCAACAAGTCCAAGCTTGGTCACTTCCCCTGTGAATTGCGCATCGTCCCAATCATGATACCCTGCCGTCGTGAGTATCCGCGTGACGCCTGCAAGGAACGTGGACACTTGGGAGGCAGACATGTTTCCCATGGCCATGAGCTGCGATTGTTCTTGCGCGGTGAAGACGCATACCTACAGTCGGGGTTGTCACACACGAAACTCTCAAGTTGGACGGACGGACGCACTGGAGGGTCGGACGAGTGCAGGATGCGACGAAGTAGCAAGGACAGCTTGTCTTGAGGAAATGCATTGATCAAAGGAACGGCATCCTTTCTAACGGCATGTGAGTGCTAGTCAGAAGGAATGCACCTACATGTCGTCGTCGAGGTGACGGGCAGGCATGCTTCACGCCAACCTACTCCAAGATCGCAAAATCAGAAACCTGTGCAATCCCATAGCCTCTAATAATTAATATGCACAATATCATTATACGCAGGAACTTCGGTCGGAGCAGAATAAGCACTAAGGTTAGCGCACGTACTCCCAAGGAGCCAGATTTCACCGCTTCAAGGTGTCCCTTACAGGTAAGTACCTTGTCTCGAGAGCAAAGGCTCTTGAGAGTATCAGTAGGTCGCGGGAAAGCTAGTGGGCTGACAGCAACCAAAACCTCTGTAAACGATTCGTATTATATATCCGAGGTATGTAATGATACAGGTAGGTACCAACCCCACCCCACTTTGACGAAACAAATCCATTTCACAAAATTGAGATCAAAGGTACGCTCGTCCCGATCCGTAGATCGCCGTGGAAGCAAGCTGAAGCTCATGCGTGTAGACATCATGACTGTGACGGAGAAGAAGACGCTGTGCATGAACCCTGGCCCCATCGCCTTTGAAAAGGATGTGTTGGACGCGTTTGCCCACGAGGGCATTTCCCACGTCGACCCGTACTTCATCGACGTGTTTGGCAACACGTTGGAGAACTTGCGCAAGGTATTGCATGCCAACGAACGATGCGTTGACCATGTGTGCAGGTGTTCCTCGCGCAAGATGGCCAGCCGCTCGTGGTGACGGGGTCCGGGACATTGGGTTGGGACATGGTCGCGTCCAACTTGCTCGAAGTTGGCGACGACGTCCTTGTCATCAACACCGGTAGGCCATTCATTCCTTCGTTTCTCCTATGTCTTCCTTACCTCATGACATACCTAGGGTATTTCGGCGACCATTTCGGGGACTGTTTAACTCAATATGGCGCCACCGTCACGCATTTGCGATCGCCCGTATGTATATATATATAAATACCCCATTATATTCCAAC